CTGCTGCACAACAGCTATTTATCTGGATATGTATCCTTCTCTATCCCAACTACACTGGGCAGCTAAGAGCAGTTTAGTTGTATACATGGGTCTAGTAGTATTATTTGTGTTCGTATATCACTTTTCACTAAAAAAATAAATAAATCCAGAGTTGTTCACAAATAAAACTACGACACACACCACAGCAACAACAAATAATATAAGATTATGCATTAACATGACAAAAAGGTATTATAAACTCAAAATAGCAGTAAGGTAACAGAGGTTCAACAACTCAAAGTGCTGCACTATAATGAAGACCCAAAAGCCTAGGTGAAGAGGTGCCACTGGTACTGAAGTTCTGATAACATCTGATGCACCTCCAGAGGCAGAGAGTTCCACAGGTACTTAAGCTCAAGCGGTTTAGGGCCTTCGTTGTCAACATCAACATCTTAAATTGGGTTTGGAAATATTTATTTATTTATATTATTTATATTAATATTATTATATACCCCACCCATCTGGATGGGTTTCCCCAGCCACTCGGCGCAGATAAAAACATAATAAAATATCAACCAGTACAGTTCATGCAGAACGGGTACAATAATTTTCCAAGTTAGCATGCTGTTCAGGGCAGCATTCTGCACCAGATGCAGTCTCTGAACAGTCTTCAAGGATAGCCCCAATTAGAATACATCTAGACAGGAGGTTTCCAGTTCATTTATCACTGTGGCAAAGTTATCCCCCTTCAGGAATGGCTAGAGCTGGAAATGGACACTCCTAGCCTAGTTGCATAAACCAGACCTCAATCTTTGCCTGCTTTCTTCCCACAGTCTCTCACACACAGGGCGTTAAGTCTTTCATTATCACTTTAGATATGTCTAATAGGAAGACTACTAGCTTGTGATAATGTCTAAATGTGCTTTCCACATAACGTAACAGGATTGTTGGGCAAATACCCATACTCACAAGAGTGTGGAAGATATTTTTGGAGGCCACCATGCCAGCAGCAACAGAATGCCTCAGAACAGAGTCTCTTATTGCCCTTAATTTTGTCAGTAAGATGTTTTGCTTACCAATTCCTCACCTGCTAAAATACCTATTTTTTTGCAGTTCTTCACAACCCACTTCATAAGTAGTGTCAACATTTTGAATAGAGGAATGAAAACATTGCATGGATCCACCATCTCTTAACGAGTTAACTTCACTATTTTCAGTTTGCCCGTATTATGTTGCAACATATTTTTAAGTATACTTAATCCATTCACAATATGCAGATGAAGGGCTAAAACAAGGCTGCAATCTCAAACATATTTACTGAGAAGCAAACCCAATTGAAAGTAGGGCTTGCTTCTGATTATACCTGCTTGTGATCAGGCTGTCAGAGATAAAAACTATAGAGATGTTAGTTGTAGTGGTATAATTAACTCCCCTACAGTTAATGGTCTGTAGTGTGTGTTTTTAAATCAATTTCATTAACAACCAATATTAATATTATCTGACTTTTAAAAATAAGTAAAACGGCAGCCTTATACCATACTGGGGCAGAGAGGAGAAGGAGATCGGGATTTGCAGCTTTCTATGCAAATTCCTTAGGCAACCCAGTTTTGCTGGAGTAGAAGTACAGTGGTACCTTGGTTCTCAAACTTAATCCATTCTGGAAGACCTTTCTAAAACCAAAGCGTTCCAAAACCAAGGCGCGCTTTCCCGTAGAAAGTAATGCAAAATGGATTAATCCGTTCCAGACTTTTAAAAACAACCACTAAAACAGCAAATTAACATGAATTTTCCTATCTAATGGGACCATTGATCCATAAAATGAAAGCAATAAACAATGTACTGCAGTCACACAATCAATCAATCAGTAGCAGAACTGGGTTCCACACAGTCACAAAAACAAAACAAAAAGAGCTGTAAAAACAAAAACACAAAATAAATAGCAAAAACAGACAGACCTCAGCGTAACACTCAAAATGGAAGTGTGGCACTCAAATCGGAAGCGTAACACTCAAAACAGAGCACGCTCAGCTTCCAAAAAAAGTTCGCAAACTGGAACACTTACTTCCAGGGCTGCAGTGTTTGGGTTCCAGGTTGTTTGAGTACCAAGGCATTTGAGAACCAAGGTACCACTATACGAAGAACATTATGGATGAAGCCAAAAGCCACAATCAAATGGCTTTGATAAAACTGGCCACCACTAACCACTTTGTAACCTGAGGCCACAGAAGAAGAACTCTAGATGTGCATCCGAATGCAGGGGTTTCAAATCACTGACTGCAATTGCCAGGGAATCGGAAGGCAGCGTTCAGTGCGCCATTGCATTATTAATGTGACACTGATAAGACATCCATTGCAACTGCTGAATAAGGTCCAATTGCCAGGTGAGAAGTAACCAGTACATAAAGTGCTTTGTTGGCATTAAAGCTGCATCAATGGGTGACTGAATTACAGAATGGAAACAGAGTATTGTGCCTATGTTATTAAAAAGAAATGCAAAGCAAAGGCTCACACTATTTGCATGTGGCAAAGCACTATCACCTCACATTGCATTCATTAATTCATTCAATTTCTTTATCACCCTTCATCCAAATATCACATGGCAGTTTAAAATATAAAAACACACAAAATGCATATCATAATAACAAACAAAAACATGTGTTATTCTGTATGACTGTTGCCCTTTCCTCACCAACTTGTTCTAAAAGGCAAACTGAATATCCAAACTTCAGATAAATGCTGATATATTACAATTACACTGAAAACAAGTCACATTCTGGCGCAGAATATGCTCTTTGCAGCAGAGAAGGCCAATGGTTTGCAAGCCACAAAGATGTAATTGTCAATACTCTGTCTTTGGCCCCTATTGATTTACTGCATATTGACAGGGTCCATATGTCAGGGACTGGGCAGAGGAGGAATGGTGGAGACCGCCTCCCCAGCCTGACCCTTCCAGAGAAGAGGAAGACAGTTCCGAATTACAACAGGGGTTTGAGGGAAGTCACAGCTCAGAGGAAGATGAAGGGAGAAGTTGGGAAATAATGGGAGAGGAGGAGGCAGAGCCAGAGCAGCGGATGGCTGACAGGTTATCACTAGAAAGCATTCCAGACCCACCATCTCCCAGAACCCGGCGAGCCTTAAAAGTAGGAAAGCAAAGAGCTCGGAGACAGACAGCACTAAGCGGCACCCATAGAGGCAGTGATGCTGAAGATGAATGAGGAAGTGAGAGAGAAGGGGCGGGTGGAGATTCACTTGGGACAACGCCATTATCCGGGAGGCTGTGTTCCAAGTCTCTCTCTATAAATATAGAATAAAAAGCAGATGGTAAGAACTTTCCCTTGTCTGTATGTTCCTGGCAACTGGCTGTGGGAGCTGCTTACAGCCGCCTGACACCGTATGATCTAGGATCACCCCTGTTGCTGAAAGAGTAGTCTAAAGAGCCATGAAGGTTGACATTATCCAAGGCGAAGGCTTATGGTAGCACATCAAACTGCTTAGAGATCTTTATTACAGTAAGCATTATAAAAGTTTTATAAATCAATTGTGTTTGTGCTTCAGATGAACTATTCAAATAACTCAGTTGCTACATGCACAGCCAAACATGCATCAAGGGTGAGTGGGGGATTTTACTACACGCATACACAAAAATATGTAAAATCAGTCCTAATGAGTTCACTCTAGAGTAAAGGTAAAAAGGTAAAGGTACCCCTGCCCGTACGGGCCAGTCGTGACCAACTCTGGGGTTGCGCGCCCATCTCACCTAAGAGGTCGGGGGCCTGCGCTGTCCGAAGACACTTCCGGGTCATGTGGCCAGTGTGACGAAGCTGCTCTGGCGAGCCAGCATCAGCGCAGCACACGGAAACACCGTTTACCTTCCCGCTATAAAGCGGTACCTATTTATCTACTTGCACTTAAGGGTGCTTTCGAACTGCTAGGTGGGCAGGAGCTGGGACCAAACGACGGGAGCTCACCCCGCCGTGGGGATTCGAACCGCCGACCATACGATCGGCAAGTCCTAGGCGCTGAGGTTTTACCCACAGTGCCACCCGCATCCCTATACACCCTAGAGTAATTTACTTTAATAAAGTAATAAAAATCCAGTTTGTATATAAACGTTTATTCATTTATTATAGTGATTTATGGACCACCCTTCAACCTAATTCCCATGAATATTTTGTAAGCCTTTAAAAACTTTTGCTGGAGAGTATTTTCAGCTTCTGCTATTATAGGCAGCAACCCATTAACGCGCGTCCAAAAGATGCACAATCACTCCCACACGCATGGTGCCGAACTCGGAAGTGGCCCAAAAATGTCACTCAACATGTCACAAAAAGGGCAGAATAGGGGCGTAACTGGGGCAGGGCATGCTTATACGCATTCCACCAAGGCGCATGGGGGCTGGGAATGGAAATCCCATGCAAAATGTTCACCGACCGTATTCAGAATTAATTCTCCATTTGCTTCAATTGTTTATTGTCTAATAATATAGTAAAAACTGTACAAGTAACTGCACATGATGCCGACTTCAACTAAAATTCCATTAAAATTATTGCCACCATTCATTATTATTATGTATTTATACCCCACATTTTCCCCTGATGGAACCCATGCAAAAACCTACCCAAAAAAATCATTAAGAAACAATTGAACATTGATATAATTAGAACTACACATGTATATGAAATCTATTCAAACCATACAAATAATTACAATAAAAACAGCACAGCACCAGCCCTTCATTAAAAGCAGTCGGTTCCTAAAAGCCTATTGGAACAAGAAAGTATTCACCTGCCAGTGGAAGGACAACAAGTAGTGAGCCATTCTAGCTTCTCTAGGAAGGGAGTTCTAAAGTCTGGGAGCAGCCACTGAGAAGGCCCTCTCCCATATCCCTACCAAACGTGAAAGACTTATAATTTTTTTAAATAGTAATTTTACTTCTGCTTAGCATCTCATTGTACAGCTCAAAACAGCTTTGCAGACTCCTTTAATATCCTATAATATAAAGATGCATCACTGAGCCTTACCTCCAAAAGACCATCCTCTGGAAGATCCGTGCAGTGAACAGCATTTTGGATCTTGTTTTTACCAAAGATAGCACGGAGCGTGCCAGGACGCAGAAAACGAGCTATTTCCTGTGCAACATAAAAATATTAACAGGTGAAGAAAGTGGCTTGTAATGTGAAGATACAGAAATATATTCATAGAAGCATTTAATATAATAAAGAACTCTTTATGCACTATAGAGCATACAGTATTTACCAAAGGCAAAAGGGCTCAATCCTGACTTCCCCTTCACATATGCAAAGAACTGTAAAATAATGAGGAAGAAAGTATCGTACAAACAGGCCAGAGAGAATTAAAGTACCACTTGGGCCTTGCATTTAACAATTCACCTGGTCGCCGCAGGAGATCAGGAATTCTGTGCAGGCAAGCAAATAAGAGTGGTCTCTCTGAGTTGCCTTGGTGTTTCCGCTAGGTCAAGGATTTCCACTTATGAAATAGAATTTCCTGTCCCTCTCTTTTCCTTGTGCACCCCCTATGCCACACCCCAAATCTGTTCCTGGGGGTTGGGGAAGCCAGAGTGCATGCCAAGAGACTAACTGCATGCCAGTGCATGCCAGTGACTAACTGAAGTACTTCTGTTGGCTATTGCCCTCTGCCATTCTACTTGGTTTCTATATGTTGGCCATGGGGGAAGAATCACCATGTTGTCTATGATGAACATATGGAAACCAAACAGCGGCTTTTGTGAGATCCAAATTGTGTGGACATTCACCAGTTGGAGATCACATACTGAAAGGGATAATGTAACAATGCTTTTTAGCGAATCCGATTTGACTATGTGACAGCATTGTGAAAGAACAAATGGAGGCAATTCAGGGTGCGGAAAATGTTTCCTCATTGTAACAACCATTGAAAAATTGTTGGAACCTTTTGGTCTGCCAAAAATGATTGCAAGAAGTACTCCTCAATTTCACTCAGTCCTATGTGTCCGTTGTCATGTCATACACACTGCAGAACTATAAACCCTCCTACTAGCTTGCCAGTTTGAATGCTGAAATTCAAATGAACTTAAAAGTAAGCTCCAATTAGTAAGCCATCTGAAAACTGGGACATCTACATATCAACATTATCTATACATCTCATGCGGGCTCAAGCATGTGGGGGAGATGCTGCTCTGGATAATAAAAGTTTTTTTAAAAATAAAGTCTATAGAGCAGTTTTGCTAACAAAACAGACTGCTGCAGTGCAGAGGTTTTCCACCTTGCCATCAAAAAAGCACCTGTTAATATGTGCAAGTTTCTAAGCAGCATGTAAATGAGGGTTCAAGTTATAAATTAAACTGCTTGCCTCTGGCATCAGCTGACAAAATTGCAGCTGCAAGTCTGTACAAATTTATTGGAGAAGTGGAAGCTTCATTAAAAAAGAAAGGCAGAAACCAGTAACTGAACTGCAACTTTTCCTGATGGAGAGCAACTCAAGACTGAGGTGACAAATGAGCCAAGATCCGTCTCTTCATTAAAGGAATTGCTTTAAATGGCAGCAACTCATCCTTTTCAGAATATAATTTCCCATTCAATAACAAGTATAAGATTCCAGACCAGCTTTACAACCAGGCAATGCAAAAGACTACATGGTGCAATTAACTTTGGGGTGCATTTTGTAGAGGTTTGTATTGTTTTGAAATCAAAATACAATCATACATATAGAAAAGGTACATAGAAATATTACAGGGCCACTGCTCATGGGGTGAGTACCTGTCAAACTCCTCTCTATTTGTGGGTGAGGCTTCATTTTTTAACGCTGCAAGAGAAACTACTGTGACTACTCCCAATTATAGTCTAAAACTTCTGGAAGACACCAGGTTGGGCAAAGCTGCAGCAGAGAAAGTCCATCAGCATGAGACACCAAATGAAAAGTCCAGCGGGAAGAACACTTGTTCACAGTAAATCCCTTAGAAATGTTAAGAACTGTTTGTTCTTCGCTGTCTGTAAATTCTCTTGTAACTATCTGACCTACATTTCAGGGATGATTTGAGAACAAGTAGGACAAAGATGAGACGGACATTTAGTACATTAATGCATGTACACACGCCAATAAAACATACAGTGGTGCCTCGCAAGACGAAATTAATTCGTTCCGCGAGTTTTTTCGTCTTGCGATTTTTTCGTCTTGCGAAGCACGGTGTCGGAAAAGTTTTGGAAAAGCTTCAAAAATCACCAAAGTCTTCAAAAACCTCAAAAAAGGCTACCACACCGCGTGCTATGAGTTGCTCCTCGAAGTCAACTCGCAACTGTATTAACGGTTTTAAGAAAAAGGAAACAAACTTGCAAGACGTTTCCGTCTTGCGAAGCAAGCCCATAGGGAAAATTGTCTTGCGAAGCAAGTCAAAAAACCAAAAACCCTTTCGTCTTGCGAGTTTTCCGTCTTGCGAGGCATTCGTCTTGCGAGGTACCACTGTATTTGAATTTGAATGAAATATATTGAATATCTATTCATAATTCAATATAACATTTTAATTAGAAAAACAAACTCCAGGGACAGTAAAACATTGCCGTTATTAGGACCAGTCAACATTTACAACATTCCAGCATGCTGAGTGGGACAATTTTACTAGATCAAAACTGTCTTTAACTGCAGCCTGACAACCTGTAGTAAGTTAGCAAATGAAAATATTCTTGGCATGAAAGTAAGTGACAGGGAAAGCTTTGCCTTCTAAATTTCAGTGCATCTGGCCACTGGCAGGGGAGCAGAACCAATAAAAATGGTGGCTAATGTGCTCAGATTTACCTCCTCCTCAGCAAACATTTGAGAGAGATTATGAGATGGTTCAGAAGGCCAGCTCCCTGCACTAGTGGTGCTGCCGCTTAGCAAGACTGGGGTGGTGTGTTGGAGCAACAACACTGGGGAAGCCCTGCAGGATACTTGATATCACCAGCCCAGAACTCCTCCTGCTGTGATAGAGCAAGCAAATAAAAACGGGTTTCGCAGAAAAGGGCAGAACACAAACTATTGAGAGAGAGGAAGCAGATTCTTATATATTGGGTTGAATAAATCAACCAATTCTGTGACAGCAGGCTTCCAGCGCAAGTTATTGTTGACATGCAGCATTTACTGTCCCTACATACTTAACATGGTATTTTACAAAAATGGCTATCTGAGTGGCAACGTGTCAGCATTCAAACTGGCCAAGCCAGTTCCTGCGAAGGATAGGGAGGAATCGGTCTATGAAAAGTATCTCGTTTAGTTTCACACTGATGGCTTTGGATTTCCAGCGTTTGGCAATCTGGGCGGGGGGCACGGAAGGGTGAGGATGACAATGAAGACCCTTTGCTCGTGTAGGTTGACCAAATCCCTCGTGATCACCCCCAGCCTCAATCGGCAGCAATGACTCGTGCAGTTAGTCCTTCCCATGTGATTCTGGGCTTTCAAACAAAGTGGTATGGAAAGAAGCCACAGGGAAGATAGAGCCCTTCCAAACTGTTCCGTAGTGATACGCAATGAGGCCCGCAATGTTTGTATTGCATACTTCACAAATACACCTAAAAGCGTCACCTTCTCTTGCGTGAAGCTGCCCAGACATTTAAGATCAACCTCTTGACCCACTTCCATCTAAAGCCAGGTAGATGGTAACAGAAGATAAAACCTCAAATTCTTTGGACCCAAGGTACCAGGGCCAATGCAGCCTTTAGGCAGGATGTGGCAGCTGCCTCTGGCACTGGAATCCCCTGCTAGGGCGCCCCGCCTGCCCTACCGCCAGCAAAGAAGTATCACCAGCATTGGCACCAATTTTCTGTTGAGATCTCACCTGAAATCCCGCAAGATCTTGCAGAACATGAGAGATCTCACTTGAAATCAGCACCGATACTGGTGCCACTTCTTTGCCAATGGCAAAGGTTTCAGGGCAGGCATCAGGAGGACACACTACTCCTGCAAGAAATGATATCTACTGCTCAGTTGCCAATATCCCATTACTGGGCAAGGCAGTCAGGAAACTGGTGGTGCTGAAACTCCTAGCACACTTGGAGATAATTTATTATCTGGGCCTATTTCAATTTGGATTCAACAAACTGCCCTGCTTGTTCTGATTGCTGACTTCTATCAGGGAAGAGACAAGGGAAATGCAACTCTATTGATTTTTCTTGCTCTCTCGGCAGCTTTTGACATAATTGACCATGGTATCTTACTGGGTCAGTGCTATAATTTGGGAATTGGGGGCATGGTGTTACAGTGATTCTGCTTCTGCCTACAGGTCTGGTTTCAGGCAGTTGCACTGGGGAAATTCTGCTTGGCTTCACAGCATGCTGATGACACTCAGCTCTATTTCTCGTTGTCATCAGAGTCAGGTGACGCTGTGCAGGTGCTGCATCAGTCCTTGGGGGCAGTATTAAGCTAGATGAAGCCAAAAACAAAACCCTGAGGATGAATCCTGACAACATGCGACACATTATGGGTAAGTGGTTCTCAAGTTTGGGGGAAAAGGATATAATATAGCCTGTTCTATGTGGCGCTACACTACACATGGAGAAGGCATATGGCTGGGAGTCTTTCTAGATCCAGCATTGTCACTGGAGGCTTATGTCAGGCATGGCCAAACTTGGCCCTCCAGCTGTTTGGGGACTACAATTCCCATCATCCCTGACCACTGGTCCTGTTAGCTAGGGGTGATGGGAGTTGTAGTCCCAAAACATCTGGAGGGCCAAGTTTGGCCATGCCTGGCTTATGTGGACCTAGCAGCACGAAGTTATTTTCCCCACTTTTGACTGGTTCACCAGCTGCACCCCTTTCTTAGCAGGGATAGCTTTTCCAGAGCAATCTATTCTCTGGTTATCTCTCATCCAGATTATCTGTAATATGTTGTATGCATAGCTGCTGGACTGCTAGAATATTGACTGGTAGAGTCAGATGTAATCATGTTACACCGATTTTGAAGGAGTGTCATTGACTGCTTATTTGCTTCTGTGAGAAATTGATGAAAGGATGTTTGCCTATTAAAGTCCTAAATGCCTTCATCAAGCCCCAGTACCTGAAGGATTGCCTCTCCCTATATCATCTCCTCCAAGTTTAAAGATCTTCACAAGTAGCTCCTCTCTGTATTCATCAACATCTGAGGCCCTTCTTCATGTGCCTC